ATACCGAGAGCTTAGTTTTCAGACTGAGCTCTGCTTTAGTCACAAAGGTTCGGGATAGTTCAAGCAGAACGCCACTGGCTACTCAAATTCACCGGTCGATCTCTTCCTCAAACTTTCCATCACCAGTGAACACGATTCTGAGGTACTTTAATTTCTCCACCTGCTCCATTGCCTCTCTGATAATCTGAGAGCAGCGGGCAGGAAAACGAGAAAGCACTAGGCTCTGCGTTCACACGAATACCGGTCACGTCGCACTCGGCTATGAACCTTTCCAGGGAACCCTGTAGAAGATCACTTTCAGAAGATGCCAATAAAACAAGATCGTCTGCAAACAGCAACCTTCCCGCCTCCACATCTCCTCCACCGATACACGCCTCGCTTTGGCTACTTCTTACTATTCTATGCATATACAACACAAGCAGGAGCACTGGGGAATGCACCCCAGGCGGAGACCAGTGCCAACGCTGAAAGACTTCTACTCAACGCCTTTACTTTGACGCAGTACCTGCTATCAGGATACAGTGATTGGACGGCCCGTAACAGCTGGCCATCTTTTCCGCATGCTCGCAGGCATGATCATAAATGTTGCGTAGGATCCGGTGATAGGCTTTTTCTAGGTCAACAAAACACATGTACACAGGACGGGCGTATTCCCACGATTTCTCAACAATCTGGCGCAGGACAAATATATGAACACAGGTGCTTCGACCGGGCCGGAAGCCACACTGCTCTTCCTGTATCTTGAGGTAAGCTATTTTGCGGCACCTCCTTTCTAGCACCTGAGAGGCTTCCAATCAGTAATTTTACCTGCGATGTTGCGTTCTACCAGAACACCAACACCGGCCTTAGCGCATGTCGTGATATCGACGACTAATTAGAATAGCTTCCACTAGCTCAGGCTCAGGAGTCCAGAGCTTTGGCACTTCGTTGAAGAAAATCCAACAACGTCGAGTTTCTGCTTTATGACCTCGTCGACAAACTCTTGTACTTTCCCTCTGACTGAATATATATTCCAGTTTCTGACTGTAAGCTCCCACTGGCGGTGTCGTTCGCGTGGAGCCTTTTCTGACGTGCAGTAATGGCATCGCGCTATCTGCCTCCTCCGTTCAGAACGGGTAGCGACTCCGTTGCTGACTGGTATCTTCGTCGTTGTTCCGTCGGTCTTCGTCGTTCGTTGTTGCGCTGCTACGTCCCCGGCTAGCAGAAGGCGATAAGCAGGTTCTGATCGTCGATTTTTCGCAGCCTGCGCGGTTCCTGGTAACTCGAGCGACAACCGAGCCGGTATCATTTTCGATGACGTCAATACCATGAAGGGCAGGCAGCGAAATTTTGTGGGGACTTCGCCACGGTCTCCAATCTTCCTCCTTCCTCAACCGGGTTTGGGACCGGCAACAACGGAAGACGGGAACTTTCCACACTGAATTATTAATTCACTGTCAATTCTGAGGTATGCTAGAAGAATAGGAACCACTTAATTAGGTCATGATTCCATTTTATTTCAGCATCTAGCTCCGCAATGATGCACACTGCGCAGAGCAACTTAGGGTATTCGCGTAACTCGGACAAATAAATAATCATTAGAGTTTACGTAAAAATTTAAACGAATGCTCCTAAAGTAACAGATTTCGCGATGTATTCACCGTCTCTTTACCGTTTCTTATAGGGAAATCATTGAAACAGGACATGGCTCCATATTATTTGACCACTGGCAGTATCAGAAGCATCTCACATCATTATTGCACAGCTAAAGCTATCTCATGCTCATCACGAACGATGTTTCAGGAGTTTGTCTTCCTCATATGCTACCGCATAAACATCATATGTTGTTCGTACGCCTGACTATGCCAAATTCCCAATCCATAGGCAACTAGGAGCAGGGGGCGGTGAAATCTGCGGTGATATCTGTCTTTGAGGAATCATTCATTATCTGACATACTTGGGCATATGAACAATTGATGACCTTCAGGCACAGATTGCAAAGTATTCGTCTTCGGAACCAAAACTGGTTCGAAAAAGGAGGAGTGGATAAGACCTTAGAGGAATCTGACTAAAATAAACTTTGCTCAATACCTCACTATTCAGAGACTGTCTGCTACTCAGCTATCTGCATTGCTTCTTTCGTTATCTTGCACTTACATTACAATAATATTCAGCATTCATTCCGTCGCCCATAAAAAGAAAAATTTTTCGCCATTCGGATATCACCCCAATAAACCAGAAGTCTTTTCGAAAGATTATACATTTTAACGGTGTTCTCATAAGATCAAGCAAAGAATAAATCATCTAGTCATACACAGTTGGACTTCCATTTCCTTTATTATTCGCATCATAGATGTACTGAATGATGCACACTGATCTGTAATTATGTGTTTCGTTATTACTTGTTATTTCGTGTGGAAAGATATGGCCATTTTCTGTACATTCAAGCATTGAAATACATTCAACTTCAGACCGCACAGAGAACAATATTAAATGTAGCACAGTGAAAGGACGTCGAAACAGTGTCTGTTGATGTTTTTGAAATATCTTTTTATACGACGAATTTCGTCGATTTGTTTTGTTATACGTGTCTGGTATTGAAATATTGCATTTACTTCTTTTATTCAAGAGACACACCCTGTGCTGACTAATTTGTAATACTCAGTCAGTCACTTGTCATCAGATGGACCAAAGCGCATTACAACTGCAAAGCGTGCGAAGTTAGTCTCGAAAGTTATTGCACAATCTGATCATACGAAAACTACGCCATACGCTGTTCATGAGTTACTGATATACTATCTGTCGGCTTCTGTGATCGTTGCACCGAAGCACTGTGAGGCAAATCTATCCCTCAGCGGAAATAGCAGTCAAAAACTTTTAGACCGAGCTTGAATTCGAACCGGTACTGCTGGCACTTGGAGTCAGAAGACTCTCCACAGTACCCTTTTTTTCCTTTACTGGGCCATTAAACTGAACTAATGGAGTAATGCTCACAACGCTATGGCATATAAAACCGATATTAGGAACGCCATATTTGAACATACTGAACTAAATACAAGACGGAACATACAATACTAAATACATGAACAACACTGCCACCCATTAACATTCAAAGAAATCAAGATCGGTTTCAGTACGAACAAGCAATTATGAACGCAGCATTACGTCCTGATTAGGTACAAAGAGCGAATAAGCTTTCCACTTATTTGCAAATAAATAATTATGTACTCGGTCTCTATAAGCTTCTTTCCAAAATCCGTTCAGCTTAATAGTGCAGTAATACTGAACCTTTTTAATAAATAATCTACGCGCATCACGCGGCACTGGATGAGAGGAAACCTCCACGCGTTGATGAAGAACGGTCACTGGACCAGCAGTGGGTTCTGGACAGAAGCCTGGGTTTCAAGAAACTACAAAGTGCGTTAAGGTGCATTAAATTAGCATACGAAATTCTGAGGTCGCCAGAGGGCTGACATGTCTATGAGAATGGCGTTAGCTCAATATGCAACTTTCTTTGATCCAATGAGCTGGAAATCAACCAGCATAAACATTACTTTATCTGTGTCAAGCGAAACAAAAAATCAGGTAGTGCTTGATCTGTCTCGACACTGACAGCCAAACTGCACAACTTGTGCGGCATATCAGATATTTAAGTCATCCTTTCTCCTGCGTTTACCTCGCATAAACGTGTGAAATCCGTGGTGGCTTAATGTTGTCGAGCGCCCTTTCATCTAGAAAGGTTTAGGCTGTCGAGCCTGCGTTCATCCAAAGCAGCAGTTGCCAGACTGGTTCTTGGATGTACCTTAGATCTGAACTATATGCTTACATGACCGCTAAACACGTTCTGCGTAAGGAAACACCAGCCAAAGCAGGGATCTTTCAGAAGGTATTCTACCTTCCGTTCGTACTCTCCGAAATTTACAAGCTGCAAATAGCAACGAACTCTTATAATTTTTTTCATAGTCTCTTTTGTAGTTCTGTTGTGCATGTTTTCCTGCAATCCTGCCGTGATTTGATGAACAACAAAAACAAGCGTGTGCATATATCACATGGTGGGTGCTGCCCCAAAGATTTAAGGACTACTTTTGCAACAGATGCTGTGGATACTGGGTCCGTAAACTTATAATCAAAGCCATGCACGTTTAAGAAATCGCGTGAGCTGGTATGTGATCATCAAACCAGGCAAGCGCCGCAAATAAGTAACCGAAAATTAAAGAATTGCAAATTCTTAAACTGCAAATTCAACAAGCTGAATTTCAATTAAATAGGGCTTCAGGTTCTTGATTCTTGAATTTTAATTATTCATTAGGGGCCGAAAACTGAAACTCATTCTGCTACTACGTCAACAATGAACAAAACAAAGGTCCTCAACGAGCGCCGTTGTGTAAAAATTAAAATACGTTTAAATGTGTACAGGAGCTAATCGATGTTCGGTATTCACGTTTACCCTTATCGCCTATCATTGAGCGATCGCTAGTATGTGTGGGTATGTTTGTATACAGCTGTGTGTAATGCGAAAGGGTCTTCCCGGAACTACGGCTGCTTTGAAGGTGGCTGCAAACGCTGGAGAATTATAACGCAGAAATTTCGGCAGGGACCATGATGCAGCGCTGTTTTCACACATGGCCCAGAATACAAAATTCTCTGAAAATTGCTGCCCAAAAATTCAAATGATTCCCAGCCGGTAGCCAGCACTGCAGGAAGTGGTATACTATCGGCGGCCATGCAGCAGTACGCAAACAAACGGGCACAATGAACCATTAAACAGTTATTCGACAAATGAAGAAGCTCCAAAAGAGCGCACTTAAATGCCGAAAGAACGCGCATACCTGACAAAGGCGCGGATATCGGTATGAATATCGCTTCCTGACCGTCGACCGTGATATTCTGATACGCAGGCAGCAGGAAAGTGTTCTTGTCTTCAGCGCACGTCACTTTGGCTGAAACCGCGACAGCGGCCGACGATGACGTTGACGACTGGAGAACATCAAACGGAATTAGCTCCTTGTCCTTACCACCGCCGGAAGCGGTCGTTATCGAGTTGTCCTGCGCAGCGACGCTGACCAGAGGCTCGCTACCACTGCTGTCCAACACGACATCATGGGAGCTAGCGCCAGTGTCGCTGCCCGTGCTGCCGCTACTGGCGCCAATTTTGCTGCACGTCGCTGCCAGCAGCGCCAATGGGGAAGGTTTCACGTCCTAAAGGCGGAGCGTGGCATTAGTGGGGGAAGGACTACGTGAGTCGTGGGACGGGCAACGTGTCGGTCCAAACCGATGTAAGACTAAGCGCTACCAGACCATCGGTCATCGGTCACTCATCTCAAACGTCACTCACCTTGTCGCCCCCGTCGCCAGATGTTGTTTCTCGCAACCGTTCGGAGTTGTTCATTGTTCACTCATCGATCGATCGAAGTAACACCCTGCCTCACCGCCAATTAAGCGACGTCCAAAAAAGCCTGGCAGCCCGGTCGACGGCCGTCGAACACCAGCAAGCACGCCTCTCCTCGACTACTTGTCTCTCTTCTTATGTAACCAAACGTGAGGACACCGGTTAACACTGCCCTCGCCTGCTGCTGGTTTGCAAGCGAAGACGTTTGCAACGCCCTGAAACAGCGCATAATCAATAGCACCAATCGTAGGCTAAGGGAACGTCGCGGAGTACGCTCATAGGCCAATCAACACCGTCCGAGCCGAGCAATGTCAAATGACTGATGACAGCATTGTCAACGAGCTGTATACAAAATCCAACTAGCACTGCGCAGGTTGCATGACTGTTTATAGAGGTAACACAAAGAATGCGGTAGTGTATCATATTCTTATCTACATGTTGATCCTCGTCGCCGTTTGGATTTAAGTCCCTTTAAGCAAAATTGACATAATCTAATCAGCTGCCGAGACATGCATAAGCATGCCTAGCTGATATCATTAAACTTAACAAGTTTACTGAAGACTGAT